TGCCGGAATCGCCGCATCTCGTTCTCGCTCCGCCGGCGCCAGCCGCTTCTCCCCTCTGTTGCCGTCTCTCCTATCCACCACCGCCACTCCTCCTCCTCGCCGGTGGCCCAATAAATGAAGCGGAAAGGGCGGCCGGAGGCGACGGTGACAAGGCCCTCTTTCTCTCTGCGAATCGAGCTCCGATGGTGCTGCCGCGCAGTGGATTGAGCTCGCGCTCATCTTCTTGGAGCCGGCAACGATGGCTACTCGCGGTGTCCCACGCTCCATGAAGATGGCCGCCTCGTCTTCCTCTCGCTAGCCGATCTACTCGCAACAGCGGCATCACCGCTGAATCTTCTTGGGCGGTAGAGTTGGCGGCTGATCTGTTGGTGGCCTGACGACGACCACGATGGCTCTCGGCGACGACAACCATGACGTGCAGCGCCGCCGCTTCCCCTTCTCCCCTTCCCGCCGCTTTGTGGGCCCTGCGTTAGATGCATGCAGTTGCAGGCGAGGCTCTCGAAGCCAAAACGAGATAGGGGAAGCAAACTAAGGTCATGGGCCCCATCTACTTTTTTGTCCACCACAGCGAGTGTCCTACGTGGCTGAGCGAGTCCACACGCTACATAGGAGCGCTGTGAATGGCCTCAAAGAGAAGAGTTGGTTAAAGGAAGTTTAATAGTATAGCCAATTACTAGCTCTAAATCATCTATAATCAATTTAATAGCCAATTTATACAATAGTTACCTACAAACATATACTACACTATTAATATCTGGTCCCACATATCACACATGTTGCTTCTTGGAGTCTATACTGCAGTTAGCTATAAATTTATAGTCCGCTGCTCTTCTCTCTTATTTTTATCTCCTTAAAATATATTTATAATTGGCTTATACCTGCTGTTATATTAGGGCTTTGCTCGTACCATAGATGACGTCAAAAGGAGAAAAACGATCTCTAAAATTTCTTTCTCCCCATCGATGAGAGATGAGGGCTATGGCTGTGGTGCAATGTGTAGCATAGATGGCTACTACTCCTCCGGCTAGTGGTAATTGCTTGTTGCAGGAGGGGGAAATGATGATGCTAGATTTGGGGTGGTCGGGGCCGTGTGGACCAAAGTCAAGTCACGACGACGCAGCCACCCATCCATCCATCCATCCTCAAACGCCAAAGCAGCAGCAGCAGCAGCTAGCATAGGAGCCACCCAGTGGCCACTGCCCCGTAGTACGTCCATCTCCAGCCATGTGGTCCCTACGACGCCGACGATGACACAAAATCATGCGACACGTTTCGCCTCCTCGTTGGCCGCCATCACACAAACTGCTCTCTGCTGGTACAGCCTCTCTTCCCATGCACTCTGCCATCAGATTTCTCATATCCCGGGCTGTAAAACGTTTAACGTACTGTAACTCGTACTTCAAGTAAGCTTGTAAGAGCAAGTTTAAATAGTATAGTCAACTACTAGCTTCAATTAATTTATAGTCAATCTAATAGCTCATTTATACGATAGTTACATACTACACTATTAATATCTGGTCCTACCTGTCATACACACACTGTGTCTTGGAGTCCGTGCTACAGCTGGCTATAAATCTATAGCCCGCTGCTCTTTTTCCTTCTCATTTGTCTCCTTGAAATATGTTTGCGGCTGGTTATAGCATGCTATTGTACCTGCTCTACGATGAGGAGTATATACTGTCGACGTTTGATGTCGCAATTCTGGTATTTGTATGGTATGGGGATCGTTGGTACTAGGGTATACGCGAGACTGAAGTAAAAGAGACAAAGACGAGGATTTTTATACAGGTTTGGGCCCCTGAATTGTCAGGTAATAACCCTACATCCTGTTAGTCGAAGCCGATATTGCTCTTATTCATGATAATCACACCAGTACAATATTTGGGGTAGCCTCTCTAACTGTTGTCAACCTGGCGGTCTGAAGATCTGACTCGTAGTCGACAACAGGGTAGCCTTCCTCCTCGAATCCGTGCCCGGCGAGATCAGAGATAGCGCTTTCGTCTCTCCTGACAGTATCCGGAGACACCGCAGGGTACTAGCCGTGCTTATCCCTGAAGTCGATATCCGGCGGCGTGTTTTGGCGTATTTAGGCTTCTATGTTGTGGCTTCTATGTCGATTGTGTTGGGTGTTGATCGTCTCGTGTCCCCTCTCCTCCTGGGGGGCTTGTATTTATACCTATAGGTGTCCCCTCGTCCAAGTAGAACTAGGGAAAACAATATGGATACAATCCGAGTAGTCTTTGTTGTTTCCATGTAGAACTCTGGTTGTCTTTCCTTATCCGGAACTCCTCCTATATCCGTAGGTTGTTTCCATATAGGACATAGTATGTGGTAGGTCCTGCCAAGATTTAGTCAACTACTATTAGATATGTGGTATCCATAAAGCTGACATATACACGCTGTCAAATAGAGAGGGGTATCATTTACTTTAAATCAAGTTTAGACTGATACATATGTCTGAATTTGAATTGAGTGAAGGTGCAAATATGTTAAAAATAGATAAACTATAGCTAAACAAATTTCTTGAACGGTTCCTAGGCACCCCCTCTCATATCTAGTTCTGCCCTTGCACTCCGTATAGGTGTGATAAATTTACTGATCGTTTCTATCGAAAATCAAGATTAAGTTAGGACACGAAAAATAATAAAATTGTCAGTGCATGATTAATTAAATTTCAATTATTACATACTTAGAAAATAAATTAATTTTATATAGTACCCCGGATTATTGCTAAAAATCATTTTCTCCGTACTTTCTTTCGCTGCAATGCTTACCACTGCAATTTTACATAGACAGTCTTTAAAAAAAACAATTAATTTGTCCATGTAATCGAGAAAATAATCCACGATAATTTTATATATTTAAAAAATATATAAGTTGGATCACCTATATAAAATTGTAGATAAGCCACTGCGCTTTGGTTATATGGTGCTAATCAACCATCTTTGAGCCAAGAAACCGCTCAGTAAACCAGTTAAAACCAAAAAACGAATAAAGTACTCCGAGCAGTTTTTTTTTTCTTTTGCAAAGGTTGTCCGTGTTTCATTGGTTCTCGTCGATTATACCGAGAAATAATATACCTGAATAACCGGTGTACCACTCCCAGCAATAATCCATCGGCGAGATCTTCCTAAACCCTTTTCGGTGTGTTTGGATAATGGGAAATGGAGGGTTGGATTGTGATTGGAAAATGAATGAAGGGTTAGGATTAAATGAAAGAGGAGAATGAATGGTTAGGATTTAAAGATGTCTTTTGGTGAATGGGAAATGATTTCCCCAACCCATTAGCCAAACGCTGCCTTCGGAGTTTTCTCACCGGAGTATGACTTTCTCATCGGCTACTTGCTTTACTTTTTTTTTTTTTTGGCCTTTTAACAGTTTTGACATGTGCTGTTGCAGTGTTGGTAGTACCTGCCTATCTGGAAGGAATGTGCGTTAATTCTACAAGAGGGGGGACCAATCGTTTTTGCCAATATTCTGTGCAATCAACAAACTGACGACACTGACTGTGATTAAAAGAGCTTAACCAGTTAAAGAGCCCAGCTGTAACTAAAATAGCTTGATCAATTACAGCTCATTAACTTTCTAGGAAACACAATACTCCTAAAATTGTTTTCAGATTTATGCATGCAGTGATACAATGAACCTCGACTCCTTGAGATTGCAGGGGGAAAAAAAGGAAATATTATCATCATCTTGAGATAAGTATAATGTGGTAGGAGAATCAATTATCAAAGAAAAGGAGATGGTGTATAGTAATAACCACAAGCTGAGCAGCCTGAGCTTATCTTATCTGATCCTCTCACCCTCTATGTCCAACACCGGCATTCCTGTCACTTTAACACATGCCTCTTCTACTAATCAAACATGACCCACCGGCCACTACAGCTTTGCATTATTGGCTGTGTTTATATCTAAAGTTTGGATCCAAACTTCAGTCCTTTTCTATTACATTAACCTGTCATACACACAACTTTTCAGTCACATCATCTCCAATTTCAACTAAAATCCAAACTTCGCGCTCAACTAGACACAGCCATTGTAGACATTGCCACTGTCTCTCCCTGTGTCTCTTGGGATAAGCCACCAATCACCTTTGCTCTGTGTTTCTGATGCTGTACAGTGCAAATCCACCAAAGATTCACCAGGTTTCTAGTTAGGGCTGTGTTTAGTTCAGCGCAAAGTTTGGATTTTAGTTGAAATTTGAGATGATGTGACTGAAAAATTGTGTGTGTATGACAGGTTGATATGATGGAAAAGGACTGAAGTTTGGATCCAAACTTTGGATCTAAACACAGCCTAGGCAGCGATAAAATTGAGCAAACATTTTTGTCTACCAACTCCCTCGTTTTTGTCTAGTAACAACTCCTACACTAGAATGCTTATTAGTTTTTCTAAGTTCAGATTAAGGGTTCGTTTGTTTGAGCATTTTTATCTAACATTTTTCTTTTTTAATGATCGTGTTTCTTGAACTGCTAAATTTGTTATAAATAAATAAACTTATTTTTTAAATTTATACTAGTGATTAAAATTTTGAACACCTTTTGATGTGCAGTTGTTTAGCTCACCTAATAAGAGCAGGTACAATAGTAGACTATTAGCCAACTGTAAACATATTTTAATAAGATAAAAGATGAGAGAGAAGAGCGGCGGGTTATAGATCTGTAGCTAGCTGCAGCACGGACTCTAAGACACAATGTGTGTATGACAGGTGGGACCATATATTTAATAGTATAATAAGCAACTATTGTATGAATTGACTATAGATAAATTGGAGCCAATAGTGGGCTATACTATTAAACTTGCTCAAACATAGCCTAAAGCTGGACTGGAGTAGTTAGAAGTACAGTTTAGCCGCATCAGAATTGGATAGGAAGATATGTTTGCACAAAATTACGCAGTGCTCCCCACAAGGAATCTTTAATGCAGGAGATGATCATACACGAAAAGAAAAGGCTTGTGGTGGCGCCACATCCCCCCTCCGATTTATAAAGCCCAACCAGAGCACTCGCAACACACTCACTCCTGCCCTTGCGAGCTTCGCACGCAGCGATCGAGAGATAGAACAGCGAGATAATGGTAGTAGCAGCCGTTGCTTGCTTGCATTGGCTTAGCTAAGCTCAAGCTAGCTCCTACTACTCCTACCTGCTTCAGCTTTGCTTCCTGCGCATGAGCTAGATGCTCCCTCGCATCCATCTCCTAGCTTTCCTTCCCTTTCTCTCGCTGCTGCTGCTGCTGCTGCATCCTCCTCTCCTGTGACCTGTCACAGCTTGGCCTAGGACTAGTAGGGAGTAGTGATTCTTGCTCGCTTTGTTTCTCTGAATCCTTGCAGCTTGGCTTGGCCTTGGCCTTGGCTGCTTTGAATAGTACCTGACGGCCTCGTGGCGCGCAAACCTTGTCCCTTTTCCCCGCAAATCCTTGCCGCCTTTTGGTCGCTCTCTGCTCCTCCTCGTCCCTCGCGCCGTCACCACCTGCTCTGTCTCCTCTCCTTCTTGCAGCTCGTCGTCGTCGTCGTTGATCTTTGGCTATATATTACTCCCTCCTGCTGCTGCTGCTGCACGGACGCAGTGAGGAGGAAGAGCTCGTGACTTGTTTTCATCAGGAGTACAGTTGTCAGTAGCTGATCGAGGTCGTCGTCGTCGCCATCGATGGCGTGGAGGAGAGGGTTCGGCCGGGAGGAGGAGGACGCGGCGGCGGCGGGGGAGAGCGGCCTCGAGCTCTGCCTTGGCCTCCCCGCCTACTTCTCCTCCTCCTCCTCCTCCAAGCCATCGGAGGGATCAACCGCTGCTCCTGCTTTTGCTCTCCGATCCAATGGAACCAATGCCTCCAAGCCAAGGTTTGTTCATTTGTTCGACAGAAATGGAGGTGGAAAGAAGCTAATTAATTCAATTTTGATGCTTAATTTATGTGTGAAAATGCATGTAGCGGGGCAGCGGCGGCGGCGCCGGTTGTGGGGTGGCCGCCGGTGCGGTCGTTCCGGCGGAACCTCGCCTCGTCGTCGTCATCGTCGTCCAAGCAGGCGCCGCCGCCGCCGTCGTCGTCGCCGCAGAACGGCGACAAGGCGAGCAAAGACGGCGGCGCGGAGAAGGGCATGTTCGTGAAGATCAACATGGACGGCGTCCCGATCGGGAGGAAGGTCGACCTCGCGGCGTACGGCGGCTACGCCCAGCTCTCCGCCGCCGTCGACAAGCTCTTCCGCGGCCTCCTAGCCGGTGAGCTCAGCTTTACCTTGCGCCGCCCGCCGCGTGGTGCGGTTTGCTCTTTGCTGTGACCTCATGCGAACACGATGCTATGCTATTGCTCGTGCAGCTCAGAGCGCTGCCGCTGACGGCGAGGCCGACGCGGCCGCCGCCGGAGAGATGGTCGGCGGCGGCGAGTACACGCTCGTCTACGAGGACGACGAGGGCGACCGGATGCTCGTCGGCGACGTTCCCTGGCAGTAAGTTGGACAAAATTACACATCCGTAGCTAGCTTCCATCCCAAATGAATTTCTCGTCTCATCGATCGATCCGCTGCAGGATGTTCATCGCCACCGCGAAGAGGCTGCGCGTGCTCAAGAGCTCCGACCTGCCGCCGCCGTCGGTGAGCCTACCACCCACCAACCACCATGATCAATCAAAATGAATTTACTCCTGATTCGTTCTGAATTTGCAGCTGATGAGGGCGGCAGGGAGCAGGAAGAGGGCAGCAGCTGACAGCTGAACTAATCACTGTCAATTTCAGCTGCTGCTGCCGATGATGATGAATTGATCATGGTGTGGTGCTTGGATTGAGATCCCTCTGCAGTCAAATACACGGTCCTTTGTCATTGACAGGTGGACCTAGGGATTATCGGGCCTATATGTTAATGATAACGTCACATGACTTTAACTGCAGAGGATTTTGATCTGTGGTGCTTGGCTTTATGGCCATTTTGATGTCTTTGGGCTGCATAATTATATGTATACTTACGAGAGATCATGACGGTATTAGTGGTCATGATTAGTAGTACGATCGAGTAGCATGGAACAGTGTTGTTAATTACTAGTAGCTGGGTGATTAAGCTAATCTATGGCGCCTTTGGTGGTGTAATTTTGGATGTAGGCAGGCATGTGTCAAATTAGTTATGTGTTTTGTTAATTAAGCGATCTAGTTAATGCGTTTAAGTTAATTATGGTGCCATGCATGTCTGCAAAAATGTGAGCTCCATCGATCGTGTCGGCGTTTCATCTCGATCAAGTTGTCATCATGGGCTCTAGTATTGCTATCCACCTCGGCAACTCAAAAGTGGGCTCACTTTTAGATTCGGCTAGTTTCAACTCAAAATCGAAGTGGATTTCGGCGTAGCTTCCACACACAATCCCTCGCGTGAAAATTTTGCCAAAAAAAAAACACAACTTAAAGGTAAACATTGGAGCTTTCAAACCAAAAGTTCGAATGATTCTCAAACTTGGGGCTCCGAGACACGCCGCATCCTGCCGCACTCTCCGCGCGCCATCCAACGGTCGTAACACGGCACACGTAGGCACAATTTCGCCTGATTGAATGAAATCATCTCCACATCTACTAACAGTAAGTACAACTTAAGATGTAAAGACAGTTTAGTGGAGGTGTTAACATGGGAATTTCTTCTTGTTCATTCGAGATATATTTTCATATCATGGCATAATTCTTGTTGCGTTATCATCATTGTTAATCCAGTCTTAACATGTATACCTAGCTTATAGGGCTTACTAACAAAAATACTATAAACAGTACTTGTACATACTCCTCCGTCCAAAAAAAAAACCAATATAGAATAGATAGGATATAACCTAGTACAAGGAATCTGGACATGCTAGATAAAAGTTTTATCCAATACTAGATAGATTTTTTTGGGACAGGGGGAGTACTGGAGTATGATCGAGAATCATTCTTGACGTTTCAACTTTCAGGGTAAAAACTTTCCTTGTTGTAGCATGTTGTTATTGAAAGTGCACATCTAATTGAAACCTAAGGACCGAGATTAACGTTGGGGATTTAACGGAAGAGTCACCGCTGCTGGTTTTACACGATGGTTTCAGAGACAGGGATGCTAGCAAAATGTTTTTAGGGGAACATTCACCTGAACAAATAATGATGGGATCACATTTTCCTTCCTTTGTTGTTACTTGCTGAGTTTTAGAGCAGAATATTATACTCCGTATTACACAGATTGTAAATTTTATACATTCTCAAACAGTTATAAATGGCTAGATTTGATTGGTTATCCTTACTACTGCAGAATTTAATTCATGGAAGTAGCGCATAATATAATTCATTGCACACACACATCTTTACAGCCAATTCGGAATATTAAAAAAAAATCCCCAAAAGGGATAATTATAGGTAACAATGAAGGTTTTGCAGTTCCAATTTTATTTCAGGTTACAACTATGCAGGGCGACAGTATATCAAGCCTCATTTTGGTTACAGACTGCTTCCAGTTCCACCATGCCCAAGCAGCACATACAACAAAGCTAGGTTTTTTCAATAATTTTTTTCACTCCAGAGCAAAAATGGACGGCATATACTACTATTTATCTAGCAAATTTTCATCGAGATTGAGAGGCTGCAATAAGGGCAGCCCCTATCCCTGACCCGTCGTTCGCGTGCTTGACGGCTACCGACTTGGAAGCCTCCTCTCCCAGCAACTCACCCAACGTGCTCTCCAAACATTCCCTGAATTTGGTGTAGTGTTCGAACAAACCTCCATCAATGGCGATGACCGAGCGCTGATTGTTGATGCCGCCATTTCTTCCAAGCTTCATGAGGATCCCTGCAACACCAGCAGCAGCCAGCCGAGCTGCCCTCCTTGCCACGATATCGCATATTTCGACAACCATTTTCCTTATCTCTAAGGATGTATGTGTAATCTGCAGGCATACATACCATGTCACTACAGAGAATACACATGCAGAATATGAGCTTTTTCAGAAGCATGGATACCTCTAGGATTTGATGCAATTTTTCAGCCACTATCTTTAGGTCAGGTGTTTCATCATGGTGCATTGCAGAAATGTGCGGAGTCCTGTTCGCCACATTAACGGATATTTTAGGGTCAGCCTTGAATCTGTTATAGAATTTTCTACACTTTATAAAACAGTCTTATGAGCATTCATATCATATGGGCTGCATTTGAAAGCAACCTACTCAATCCTGAATTGCATAAGAGCGCTAATTGTGAAAACAAAAGGAAATGACATACCGCAGATGGAAACAAGTTTTGAGCTTGGAGTTATCTATAGAACCGAAAATTCCAGACTGCAAGGACAGTTTAAGCAGCACTCTTCTTACGATTTCACCTAAATACATTCCTGATGTTAACTTCTCATATATCTGAAAAAGAAAACAAAACTATATGGTTGAGCCAAGACCCAAGATCCAACAGTACAGGCATGCAGGGTAGGTGGTCTTTTGCTGAAGAAACTTGCCTGCTCTCCAGGGTTTAAGCTTTCCTTGTCTAATGCTTCATCGTATTCAGTAACTGGAAGATGCGATGAATAGAAATTACCCCATTCCATATTGATGACCTGAAATACGATAAACGCACTTAAAAAAAACTTAGAAATTGAATAAAGATACAACAAAAAAGTTGAGTAAAATAAACTTATGTGAGTTAATTTATTGCTTAAATTTCAATGGAAGGTGGGAGTATGGCCTTTGTCCCTTACCATATCCCCTGAATTGGGCAACTCCCCTTCCCATTTTGGTATAGCATTTGCCTTCTCAACATATGCAGCATTTGTGCCAGTACCAAATATCACACCTGCGACAACATCTTCATCGTAGTATCTTGCTCCAGCCAATGTTCCAACAGCATCATTAATCTATTTCATCAAAAAAGTTCTCTCAGACTAAAAATGTTTACCTGACATTGTAGATATATTATGTTTATGAAAGGTAAAAGCCAGTCAATACTCACCAATGCAGCTACATGCATGTCCAGACCTTGTTTCACCATAGCCGTTTGTAGTTCAGCCACCACATCTTCACCTACCTGATTTCAGAGAAATGTTTTATCTGATAGAAGATTCACTCATATCAGCTTAAAAATGGATATTTTGTTTGCGTGAAACTGATCTACTAGTAAGAGCTAGCAAGTATTAATGACAAGGCTTGTGACTAGAACAACGTTCATATCGCAAGATGTTCATATAAATAATGGGTTTTGCAGAGCTGTAGTTACTAATTAGGACTATTTTTTACATCACCACAAAAAATGTATGCGATGCATGTTGAGTTTATGAAGGACGCCTTACTGCATCATCAATGGAAAACGCCTTTGTCCACTTGACAAGGGTACCCGATGCCACAGATCGTTGCCTCACAGGAAAAGAGAAGGTGAATCCTAGCTCTTTCTTCTTGCCGTTTGGCATGTCAGTACCCTCCTCCTCTTCAGCAACAAACTTGCCTAATTCCCCAGCAATGAAACCAAACAATTCCTGCAGACATATAGTAAAACAACGAATATCGTCAAATAAAAAAATGCACAACAGTGGAACAACATCAAAATGGAGCAAAACTCGGTCAAATGATGATGATTCAGCGTACAAAAACCCACCGAGGAGGTCCCTGACATCAGGTGTGGTGGGATGCTGACTTCCCTGGATTCAGAGTTGACGACATGCTTCTTGCTGCCACCAAGATGAACCTTGAGCACCCGGAAGTTTGTTCCTCCTAGGTCCAATCCATAGAACAATCCATCCTCTCTCCTGAATTCGTGGCACAAAACTGATCAGTGTAAACCCATCATTTTCAGAGATGTATCTACTGTCACTCTTGTTTCTGACGCTATGAACACAAATCAGAAATTCAGAATTCAGAGGAGGCGATGCATATGCAGGTATACTGACTGACCCAGTGGGGAGCTTGTCGACGTAGGAGAGCAGCATCTTGACCCTGCTCCCACCCTCCTTCTCCAGGCCGGCGCCCATCTCGCCGGCCATCGCCGCCGCCACATCCCGCAGCAGCGACGCCGGCGTCGCGCACCTCTCCCGCAGCTCCGCCACCACCTTCTCCGCCTCCACCGCCGCCATGATCCCGGTCCCCGACAGGCGAATCGAAAAGCTAAAGAAAAGCTTCAGAGCAAGAAAGGCGAGACCTTTGGAGTTCGGTTCAGACAAACCCAACCACGATCAAAAGACGCTCCGGAAATGCGCGCAGAATCGCATTCACGGGGCTCGATCGATCGATCTATAGAAAAATAATCTGGGATTGGAGGGAGGCACGTGAAAGTTTTGTGTTTTTGTCTAAAGCACTCAACTTTTTTTCATCAGTAGTTTAGTTGATCCCTTTCAGTGGCGGTTTTGATCCATCTACCGATCGATACGGCGGCAGCGGAAAGGGATAAGCGTCGTGCTCTTCTTGTTCTGTTCCTTAGCTTTTCGGTAACTGCACACTGCGTAGCAACAGGGGGAGGAAACATTGTCCATGGTCGGATCGGATGGATATCTATCCAAGAACAGAAGAGAATCCAGCAACCAAATTGGATCGTGGATTGGATTGGATTGGATGGATTTACTCGCGTCACATTGGCATGGAGGTGAATGGAGAAGTTGGCCGGAGTCGGGGTCGCCGGTCGCCACCGCCGTCGCCTTCGCCGTGCGTTGGGCTTTTCGCGGTGCGGGCCTTAGATGGGCCGTCGACGAGGGGGGCTCACGGCCCACGTTGATGGCTGGGCCGATCCAGCGGCGGCGCTGGCACCTAGGTCGCCGCGCCGCCGGCCACCGCGGATTTTACCTGCAGTTTCCCTTTCTCGTAGACCGTGTGGCGGCGAGCGAGAAAACCGTGCAAACTTTTTATTACCGCGATCAATTCACCTCTCCATCTCGTATAGGAATTGAATTGAAATTTTGCTGTTTTGGTTAAAAATCGAGGGGCGTTGTGTCGTAGGTTCAAATTTCCATGATGCCTCTGATTCCATCCGCCCTTCTTTGTTTCTCGTTTCAAAAAAACCCATTGATTCCCCCACATCATACTTGCATCGCAACGTGACACCCGAAAAACGCCAACTAATCCCAAAGAATTTTTTTAAAAAAATATTCGTGTGACAGTCCACACCATGCGTGCCGTGCCCCCCAAAGATCCAGCCAGCAAATGTGCACCTGCCGGTTGCCGCCGTACACATTTATTTACAGCTTCTGCGTCTCAGAAATATCACAAGTTTTCACTTGGATATTTCCAAAAAAACCTGGCCGGTCAATGGCAGCTGTTAAATTTCGTGCCAATCCGTTTCGTTTCATCACGGTCTGCTGTTAAAATTCATATTTATGGTTTCGATGCGATCGCGGCCCGAGTCAAACCCTGTGAAAACGGATGAGGCTTTCACTTCTGTAGGAGGCTGTGTTGAGTTCCCTTCAAATTTTTAACTTTTTCATCACATTAAATGTTTGGACACATGTATGAAACATTAAATGTGAACGAAAAAACCAATTACACAGTTTATATGTAAATTGCGACACAAATCTTTTTAGCCTAATTACGCCATGATTTAATAATGTGATGCTACAGTAAACATTTACTAATGACAGATTAATTAGATTTAATAGATTCGTCTCGCAGTTTACAGGTGGAATCTATAATTTATTTTGTTATTATGTTTAATACTTCAAATGTGTGCCCGTATGCATTAAATTTTTTTGCCAAAACAACTAAACACGGCCTCTTTCCTTTTACTAGTACACCTCAGAGTCAGCAGGGGCCAGGTCAGCAAAGATCACACTGGGGCGAGTTGACCCTGCAAAAAAATTGAAACGAACAGGGTCATTTACTGCGTGAGATAGTACCACGACGCGAGGTCACAAAGATCGTGGTGGTACATAAAAAAAAAAAAACTCCTGTACGTGGTACGCGCCTCTCACCCAGCTGCACTGCATCGTCATGTTCGTTCAAATCACCCACGCACAGCAACAGTTTCGCCACCAGGCACCAGCAGCAGTAGTAGTAACATGTTTTTGACACATTGCGCACACATCACGCCCTACCTGATCCTGCACGTGCGACCCGCGAGGACACGCACGTACTACTACTACAGGTACAGTAATTTGCATTCGCGTATCCTTTTAAACAAAAATAAAACTACAACAAAACCAAAATTTTTCTTTTAGAAATACGGTACGAATGCAGACGCTACGTACTAACATATGGACACACTACCCTTATAAACGTATCCGAAAAATTAGGACGATATATATTAAGATTGACGAACGCATCACGGACACCTCGTTATCGACGAATACATCACGTATCCTGATAAAAATAATTAGTCCTAAATACAAGCATATGTGTCAAATCCAGAATTTAAACCCGGATAAGCTGGTTTTATCGTAAGAAATCTAATCGATTGAATTAAGCTCACTACTTCGTGAGGATGAAATTAAATTTAGCCCAAAACCAAACTCAAATCTGATATAGGAGTACTACCCTACAGTGGACGACGATTTGGAATCTTTTATCATAGTAGCGGTGATGCGCCAGATCGATCGATCGATGGCTCGATGGATCAATAATTCGATATTCCCAAGGACCCACTCGTCCTGTGAGCCCTTCTGTGGCTCGATCCCGATGACGTCATCGCCCAAAAGATCCTTTTCTCTGCTTTGCACCGGCATACTACAACTGCTGCTACAAGTCAAAGTGCAGCTCACGAGAGTGGCGCCAGGGTACAAAAGCCCACACGCTCCAATGGCCCAAAAAGAAAAAAAGAAAAGTACAGCTGCTAGTGCTAGTAAAAAGAAACTACTGCGTACGTACGTACTTACGTACGTACACGATGTGTGTATGTGTACGAAGGCTGCACTGTGCGTACGTACGTACGTACGCGTGCATGCATATACGTTAATCGACATGATCGTTGGAGGTTTTGGAGGTGTAGGGATGGCAAGTTTGGGTGCGCGCCGTCGTGGAAAGAGGCCAAAGGTGTTTGTATTTTTCACCGTCTTTTTTGCAGCGCTCCCATCACGTGCCAGGTAGTAGTAGACTAGTGCTCTCCATGCTGCTTAGTGCTTACCCACAGCTGCGATAACCCCTCTGATGGTATTTTCGGTGCAACAAAGAGTCTTCTATGATAAAACGTATTGTGTAGAGCGACGAATTTGAAACACACTCTCTATTCGAATTCATTGTAGTATATACCGCTGTGTAGAAAACCCACCATATAGAACCGAGGGAATACTCTCTATGTAAAAAAAACAATTTATCCTATATTTAGATTTTATCTATAGAAATTATTTTTTTCAACAGGAGGAGTACTTCATCCGTCCTTAAAAAAAAAACTATCCTCATACTAGAACGGGATACATTATAGTATAATGAATCTGGACACGTAGATTTATACAAATGAGTGTATAGATAACTGTTTTTTTTACATCGTTAATGATGGCAAGTGACCTCACATCTCGCAAGCCAACACAAATCACGAAGAGACGTTGAGATTATGGGTTTGCAGCTTTCACAGTGCAGCCACGGGACGTGGGAGTGGATATACTCCCCCCCTACCGTACTCCTATCTTTTTGAAACAGCCTCTTTTTTTGAATGGTGAGCTACTACAACTTTGGTTGTTCTCTCATGCTCTCACACACTTGGATGCTAGCTGCACCGCCATTTGTTTATTGCCATCATTTATGATTTCGTATTTCGATTTGGTTTGGTCGCATTTGGTTTGATTTGATTCTTTCCTAGGGATAGTTTTTTTTCCCCTTTATTTTTTAAAATTTTTTGTCTTGTATTGGACCCCCCCTCCCCTTCTTTTTATTTGAACCCCGCTCCTCCCTCCCGGGCGTTTCCCTCTCTTATTCAAACTTGACCCGTTTCGCCTTCTTGCTCAAGTGTTCGACCTGGTCTTGGAGCGCGGCGTGTCTCTCTCGCCGGCCGGAGTCGCGAATTCCGGCCATGGGCAAGGCGGCGAGGTGGTTCCGCAGCCTGTGGGGCGGCGGCGGCGGGAAGAAGGAGCAGGGGAGAGAACATGGGAGGACGGCCGCGGCGCCGCCCCCGCCGGACAGGAAGCGGTGGAGCTTCGCCAAGTCGTCGAGGGACTCGACGGAGGGGGAGGCGGCGGCGGCGGTGGGAGGGAATGCGGCGATCGCGAAGGCGGCCGAGGCGGCGTGGCTCAAGTCGATGTACAGCGACACCGAGAGGGAGCAGAGCAAGCACGCCATCGCGGTCGCCGCGGCGACCGCGGCTGCGGCGGACGCGGCCGTGGCGGCGGCACAGGCGGCCGTCGAGGTCGTCCGCCTCACCAGCCAGGGGCCACCCACCTCGTCGGTGTTCGTCTGCGGCGGCGTCTTGGATCCCCGTGGCCGCGCCGCCGCGGTCAAGATCCAGACAGCCTTCCGAGGATTCTTGGTGAGTGAGCCCCAACAACTTCCTCACTTCTTCCAAGAACAACAGTGTCTGCTTCTGTTCTTGATCTGTTCGTCTTCTTTGGCGACGTGCTCATTTCGATTTCATCCACTGTTCCAGTAGATTTCCTTTTCCAAAAAAAGCTCATAGATTAAGACATGATTAGATTTTTATTTTTGTTCTTGGTTCAGGCGAAGAAGGCGCTGCGAGCGCTCAAGGCGCTGGTGAAGCTGCAGGCGCTGGTGCGCGGCTACCTGGTGAGGCGGCAGGCGGCGGCGACGCTGCAGAGCATGCAGGCGCTCGTCCGCGCGCAGGCCGCCGTCCGCGCCGCGCGCTCGTCGCGCGGCGCCGCGCTGCCGCCGCTGCACCTCCACCACCACCCTCCCGTCCGGCCGCGCTATTCCCTGGTACGAGTACGACCACGATCGCTTGCGTGCGAAGCGGGCGAGCTTTTTTTTTAAAGGTGTTCGTCCGAGGCATGTTGGTTGCTGTGACACAATTCTTACCTCGGGGGTTTCTTGTGTTTGCAGCAAGAGCGGTATATGGACGACACGAGGAGCGAGCATGGCGTGGCGGCGTACAGCCGCCGCCTGTCGGCGAGCATCGAGTCGTCGTCGTACGGGTACGACCGGAGCCCCAAGATCGTGGAGATGGACACCGGGCGGCCCAAGTCGAGGTCGTCGTCGGTCAGGACGAGCCCTCCCGTGGTCGACGCCGGCGCCGCCGAGGAGTGGTACGCCAACTCGGTGTCGTCGCCGCTCCTCCCGTTCCACCAGCTCCCCGGCGCGCCGCCGCGGATATCGGCGCCGAGCGCACGCCACTTCCCGGAGTACGACTGGTGCCCGCTCGAGAAGCCCAGGCCGGCGACGGCGCAGAGCACGCCGCGGCTTGCGCACATGCCGGTGACGCCGACGAAGAGCGTCTGCGGCGGCGGCGGCTACGGCGCGTCGCCCAACTGCCGCGGCTACATGTCGAGCACGCAATCGTCGGAGGCGAAGGTGCGGTCCCAGAGCGCGCCGAAGCAGCGGCCGGAGCCGGGCGTCGCCGGCGGCACCGGCGGCGGCGCGCGGAAGAGGGTGCCGCTGAGCGAGGTGACCCTGGAGGCGAGGGCGAGCCTGAGCGGCGTGGGCATGCAGCGCTCGTGCAACCGTGTCCAGGAGGCGTTCAACTTCAAGACCGCCGTGCTCAGCCGCTTCGACCGCTCGTCGGAGCCGGCCGCCGAGAGGGACCGCGACCTCTTCTTGCAGAGGAGGTGGTGATCTGAACAGCGTTCGCCATTGCAAGAAGGAAGAGGACTACAAGAACTAGTTCTTCTTCTTCTTCTTAGTCTCTGTTTCTATGCGACATAGTAGCGATCGATCATGTTTGATCGATGGCAATGGCGATCGTGTGCTCCGCCATTGCCGTCGTCTCCGAGCTTGTTACTGACAAGTGACAGGCAAAGTGTACGTTGAGCTAGCTGGAGGGGAGATTACAAAAAAAAAAAATCCCACTTCTTTCCCCTCTGATTTAACAGTGCACTTGGATGTACATTCCCCTATCAATTCAAGGCCAGCAAATCAAATCCCGTTGTTTTTTTTTAAAAAACAAGTCCGGAAAGGTAACGGATTAAACGGCATTGACCAGCCAGGATTTGAATGGTAGAGGCCAGCAGTATGCTATACCCTATTTGGGGAGTTTACTGAGAGGCAGATGGTTGCTAGTAAGCTTTTAAGAATCTAGAAAAGTTGGGTTTCCAGTTTCTGACTTTTAGTTTATTTTTTAAATTTTACATCTACAATTTTTTAAAATCTGAACCAAAAAACTGTTTAGGGGAGCTTATAATTGTAAGAGAAGTTCATTTTCTAGCTTCTAATTTATTTTCTGGATTCTAATGCTATAATTTTTTAGAATTCAAACCAAAAGCCGTACCATTTAAGAGTGCTTCTGATTCTTAGAAAAGTTACAGCAGCTAGAAACTTCTTCAAACAAGCCCTATACGTCTCGTCACAGCAAGCGAGCTAGTCACTCATGGGACGAGACCACCATAGCCGACCACCACCAATCCACCATGGCCTTGGACCGACTCGAGGTTGCCATGCATGCATGTGACCGGGCGAGGTCGACGACGACCGACCGGGGAGGCTGTAGAGGCATGAGGGGGGCGTGCCTGCATGCGTTTGCCTCCCCGGGGAGCGGAAGAATTCCGATGCTGCACTGTGCCCTTTGCCTGCGCTCGTTTGGAGGCTTGCACTCATCCTGGATCGATCGATCGCTAGCTGCTTACAACTGTTTGGCATGTCGTGTGTTTTGAACTGGGTTGGGTACTTGCCGCTGCTGCCACTTGCCGTAGTTTGTTCCTCCCAGTTCCAGCTCAGGGGTACTGGTGATGTACATGTAGCTAGAGCTGTAGCTCTTACTTCCACCTTTTTACGATGTAAGTCATTCTAATATTTTCCATATTCATATTGATGTTAATGAATCTAGATAGATATAGGGTGCGTTCAGAAGAGCTGGCTGTGACAGCAGCGGCGCTGCAGCTACATTACTCAACAAGCAAGATTATGCTAGGAGAGCTGCAGCGCTGTAGCTGTGCAGCCACAGTCCAGCTGAACCGAACAGACCCATATATGTCTAGATTCATTAGCATTAATATGAATGTGGGAAATGCTAGAATGACTTACATTATGAAACGGATGAAGTAAATTTTAGTTCGAAGAGTTGGTTCTAGAGTACAGTTGTGAGTAACCTAATAGCAACTACACCTCTTTGATTCATTTTATCAAAACAGTCTAATTCACTCCACTCTCTTTTTGTAGATGTGGCTGAAACCGTTTGGTTGGGCATGACTCTGTCAAACCTGCTACTCTAATTAATTTTTCTTTTTTTTTCTTTCGGTTATAGAGACGAGGGGTTGTTTGGTTGGTACACAGTTTATCATGTTAATCCTTATTAGACGTGCCATTGTTTTTTTTAAGAACTTTTGATTCTTAAGCCGTTAACACCACATATGCAAAGTTTTATTCCTAAATTATTTTTTATCAATAATAAACGGTTATGGCTTATACTATGCTGAAGGAGTGAAGGCAACTGATGGGAAGTTGGGAGCCTCAAACTTCAACCACTTTACAGCACATGGCGAATGGGGACTCGGTAACTGCTTAACGGAACTGTGCTCACCGTACAAACCCAACGGATGGATCACTCGACGAGATTCCGATTTTTCACTGTTACAGCACACTCGCCGGCCGATCGAAACATTCAACTGGCTATTGGATCGAACCATTCAATTGGCTGTTCTTCCTATTTTCTAGTCCACCTCGCAGTGAAAAAAAGTCGGCAATCACCACACCCCCCATATCCTGGGTATAGAATTGAATGAATTGTAACGATGTCTCCAGCAGTATACGCAGGGATTGTCCCTTTTACTGCAGTAGGTCCAATGCATGGAAGATCTCCATGTAAACCAGATTGGATACTCGTAGTTAAGTTACTTCAGTCATGGACCATCCGGTTTATGGACACAGCAGAATCCAGCATGAGCCATGAAGAACTAGGTAATGGTTAATAATACTGCTCCCTCTGTTTTCAATTACTCTTTCTTAGGATTCAAATCTGTACACAAATATACATTACGATAGTACTAGTACAAAACAACCTGCAAATCAATCGCTTGCGTTTGGAAATGGATGAAGTAACTAATTAGATCGCTAATTATCAGAAAGGGTTCAATCTAATTATCAGTAAGAGTTTTTCTGAAACTCAGGATTGATAAAAAGGTAGAAATATAAAAATTGTTTGGATTGATGTCAAAACGTGCCCATACCAATCTTTTGGTAGTTTAAATAGTAAATGCGATAGTTTGGCTTGAAGCCAATTAGTTGGTTATATCCATGTTAAATTTGGCACAGTTTCTAGAAATTTCCTCACTACAATATGGGATTTGGCTTGTAATTGGCACCAATCCAAATATCAAATACTACAAATACGGTTGTTTATATAGGAGTAGATCATACGAATCGAATGAGAGAGAGATTAAAAAAAACAAAATTTAAAGATTCTAAAGCTTCTGTTAACTTTCTTTTAAAATCTACATATACTACTAAGCTTATTTCTTAGTACTCTTAAGCTTATTTCTTAGGGATTTTAAAGGATTTGAAAAACTGTAAAACTAGCCAGATGTGCTGCACACAAGCCCATTGCATGTGAGCACACACTACTGGAGTATACTGGTAGGAGTAGTAGGAGTAGCATGTAGCAGGTGGTGAATGAATCGGAGCTGAGTGGTGATATGAAAGGTCATACTTTTGTCTTTCTTTTTTTTCTCTGGCTCTAGCTTTTCAACGCCTATCTTTCTTTTCGGCAATGATTAGGTTCTGATTTGATAGCTGAGAAAGGCACTCGATCTCTCCTGGAAGGACTTGACTGGGGTACACAGTACACTCGTCATAGTAGTACAGTACTCCCTCAGTGTTAGTAGAGGAGTCGTCTAGAATAATGTTTAATTTAAACCTTAGAAATATAAATCATGAATAACTTTTAAGTTATTGATTTAAATTGTTAGGTTTGAAAATGTAAAAATTATATGAATAGATTTATCTTGAAAAATACTTTAATAAAAGTATACATATCACTTTTCAATAAATTTTTTTATAGAAACAAGATGTCAAAATTGTGTTTTGGAGACCGTGTCGCTGTCAAAAACGATTTTTTTATGAGTATGGAGGGAGTATACTGCTGGTAGGTCAATACTAGTTCGATCCGGTTCTCCAATGGCTGCGTCACAGTGGCATTGCCATGGCTCATTGGCTCTGCTTTGCAGCTTTGCTGCGTGTCGCAGTGTCCGTGTGGATGATGAACACACAAACACACACGCAGTGATGAATTGGAATACTACCTCCGTCCTAAAATGTAGCTATTTCTAGCACAGTACTTTATTCCAAAATAAAGCTATTTTTCTACCCACCTTCTCCTCTCAACCAATCACAACCATTCTTTTTCACCTACTTTCTCTTTTCAACCAATCACACATCTTTTTCAATCATTATCACCTACTTTTTTAATAGCCGTGCCAACCTTAAAAGTACTTACATTTTAGGACGGAGAAAGTACTGCATAGTAGTAACAGTGGAGTATGAAATATGGATATGAATATTACTAGCAAATGCAAGCTTATGGTGTCAGGATTGGTAGGAATTAGCTCAAGCTTATTAGAGCAAGTTTAATAGTATAGTCCACTACTACCTCTAATTTATCTATAGCCATTGTAATAGTTAATTCATACAATATAGTTGCTTACTATACTATTAATATATGGTCACACATATCATACACATAATGTGTCTTGGAATCCGTGCTGCTGCAGCTGGCTATAAATCTGTATACCGTTTCTCTTCTCTCTCATCTTTTATCTTATTAAAATATGTTTATAGTTAGCTAATAGTCTGTCACTGTATCTGCTCTTAATCGTAATTGATTACAGTAGTGATGGAAGTGGCATCCCTCAACCCTCGGTTCCGGTGACACTGGGAGGGCTGGACATCCATCGAGGTGACACCGCCTCGCCCGGGTCGACATGTGCGACCATCATCTCACTGGATGCATTTTGGCAAAGAGGATCACATGCACGCACACTTGGCCTAGCGTGCATGGGTAGCCGGACCGGTACAAAACGAAGGATATAAACACACACAGGCTAGCGCTGCAGGCAGGCAGGCAGGCAGGCGAGCATGCAGGAGTCGTGGTGCGACGCGCCGACGAGTGGATTCAGAGCGCCGTATTGGTGGTCGTCGCTTCGGGTGGAGTAGGAGTAGGAGTAGCAGAGGTTGCGATATGATTCATATCGTCTCCGACGACGCGAGGCCAGCCGGTGGGTTCATGCATGCGACGGCCAGGAATAGCAGAGTCCACGAGACGAGACGCGAAGGCGACGAGCTACCCTACTCCGGAGTCCGGACAGGGCTAGTGGTAGCAGAGCTCAGAGGAGTGTACTGCTACATGATGACGTGCGATTTGACCACCGGCCGGCCTGCCCTGCCCTGGACTCCCGACTGACACCTGCGCATGCACTTCGCACGCATGCACGGCTCCCCACGCCCTGGATCTTTGTTGCCGCCCTGTGTCGCGTGTCTCGTCTCCTCCCTCCTGCACTCCTTGTCTCTGTTCCGCTCAATCTACTCCCTGCGTACGGATGCCCGACGTGCCCACGTACTCTAAATAGAGTACTCCTACGGTGCACGTACTCTACTCTTCTATTACACCCTGGTAAAAAAACAAAGGCTGTGTTTAGTTTCTTCCAAAGTTGAAAGTTTTGTTGAAATTGATATGATGTGACTAAAAAATTATGTGTGTATGACATGTTGATGTGATGAAAAAAGTTAGAAGTTTGGATCTAAACACAGCCAAACACATACTACTCCTACTGTCCAGATTCGTAACGGAGAAAAACTATTCAAATCTGTATTACTACGACATTTACACATCCTATACAAGATGTACTCCTACTAGTACTTATTTAGGGATAGAGTATAAGAATCTTGAACCAGACATGATATTTTATAGTATTACGAATTTGAAAAGACTGTTGGTCCATATTCTTATATTTTGGA